TCTTAGGTGACTCAAACTTGATCCGTTTTCATAAACTAGTTCAATTATTGAACCTGAACTCAACCCGAGTCGACACGAACAACAAAGTAGTAAAATTTACAATATTTTTATTTAAAATTTACAATATTTTACATGACGCGAACAACCCCCTTAATTTAAAAAGTTTTTCAAGTTTTTTCCTTAATTTTTTTTTTATTTTAGTTGACAGGAACAACAAAGTAGTAAACATACAACAAAACAGCCATAAAAGCCATAACACACAAAGGCACAAGTCCACAAGTTGCATGAAATAAACTAAGCAATATAATAACAAGTCCACAACATAACAAAAAATATGAAAAATTCAATAGCATGCCCACAAAGGCCACAACCCACAACTCCACAAGGAACAACCCAACAATTCAACTTACATGAGATGAACAAAGCAGCAGATCCACACATTACAATAGAACCAAAAACTTAATTGAAAAGTGTAGCACAAAAACAAAGAAAAACAAATTAAATAGCACATAAAATGGATTACTTCTTTACAATATGAAAATTCAGCTTTCCATACTCATTACAAGTCTACAATACTACAAATTATAATATCAAAATTCAAAACAAGGCAAAATAAATTTACAGTGCATGCTCTAATAGTCCAATATTGGAATTATAATATTTTTTAAACTTCAACTTCCAAACTTCACAAATTCAACTCAAAGCCTGAACATAGAAGTATAGAACAATATATTATGAAGTCATAAGATCTTGGATTGCAACAATTGAATTTTACTAATGTGGTGCCATAAGATCAAGCAACAATAATTTCTAATGTTACATCAGAAAAATAAAAAAAAATCATAAACTACTAATCATAAATATTTCTTGCAAATTAATGTCATTTGTTACTGTATCAAGCTCAGGTAGTCAGTTTACAAATATCTAGATATGCAAATCATTACATATATTAATACCACTATGAAGTGTCTAAGATGTCTTAAATATGCAAATCATCACAAATACCATAGTTTGTGTGAAAATTTGAATATTGGTATCAAAAGAATAACAATACATAACCCCATCACTGCAACAATACATAATAGGAAACCAAGCTAGAACATGTCCAACAACATGCTAACAACATAATTCCCAGCATGCCAACAAAAAACTCCTATAAAAATCAAACTTAGAGATAGAGATACTCACAATCTACAAAAAAATGAAATAAGGGTTTAGCCATTTAGGGTTGTTGGCCTTGGGTTATGGGTTGATGACCTCCATTCTCCATTCTCTAAAAATAAGTCAGCAAGAATATAAGATAACAAACATAGCATTAGACTATTACTATTTATACATGTAATAGTTTAAAACCCTAAACTTCAAAAATCTAAAATGTTAAACCCTAAACTCCAAAAACAGTTTCACTTAATCACTTTCACATCTCACAATCCAAATGACCAAACTAGTAAACTGAAAAATTGATAAAAAAGATAAAAACCCAATTTGAAAAGCTTAAAGAAAAATAAATAGAAATATGGAATACAACAACACAAGAAGGGAGGAGCACTACAGGAAAATCATCCATTTCTGGCGGCATTTTCACACGAAAATTGAGCATTTTCCGGTAGTTTGGTAATTTAGCGACGGTTTTCCAGCGGTTAAAATTCCGCCGGTAAAAATCGCGCCGGAAGCGGTTTTTTCCAACGGCAAATTATTCCGGTGGCTTGCTGGCGGGCTTAAACTGTTGGTCAAATTAAAAAAAAATCCTAACGCCCCCGCCACCCCGCTCCCGTGCTGCCGGCGAGCGCCAGCGTCCCCGCGCTCCCGGGGTGTAGTACGGGGGGGGGGGTTTGGGGGTACACGGGTCAACCAGATTATTCCCGTGTTAACCTGAACCCAACCCAAAATATAAACGGGTCCAAAAATTGGACTAGAACCCTACCCGTTTCTATGTTGGGTTAACCTAAACTCAAATTTTTTCGGTCAAGTTCAGGTCCATATTTGACACCCCTAAGATAGTTCAGTTTGATTATATAGTATGAAATCTAGCTATTGTGGCTACTTATGAAGCAACTTTTACGATATTATATTGATTTGGAATTGATAATTAAAAATAAGCTCGATCAAGTATGAATCTCAATCCACATATAAGTTGGAAAGCTTGTAAAATTAAATTCATGATCATCCGAACTTTGATTTGAATATACTTATTGTTAGCTTGATCTACTAGACTCGATGAACCCAATAACCACAAAAAACGGTCCAATACAAGTCTGAATGAGCCTATATCAATCACTTAGAAGTGTAATTAAAAAAATCATAACATTATTTGGAGGACCAAATGACCTCTAAATATGACATATTTAAAGTCAAATCAGGTGTCACAATATGGAAAATTCAACGAGCCCAATATCCATAAATTCTGACAATATTAAGATACTTAAATGTTGAACAAACAATTTACAATCAAGGGAATCACTATAGGTTGTCCAATAGAGTGTTCTAGATTTTCCCCATATGTATAAGGCATGCTACCTTAAAAAAGTCTATTAATAGGCCACGACTCTCTATATGAAGGGAGCCTTCGGTTTGAGATTCAAGAGAACTCAAAGACTTGAAGAATCCGAAAGCTCCACTCGCACCACTGTCGTTGAACCTTTCGCCCTTCGGCCACTTTCGTCAGACCTTTTGCCAACCAACCGTCATTATCAAACCTTCACCGACTAACCGTCACCATACCTTTTGCCAATGGACACCACCTTCGAACCATCCTTTGATTAACCAACCTTTGAAATGAACTTTTTTCCTGTTGATTAGTACCATTAGACTTTGGTCGGGCGTTGTTGTTGGACCTTCTCCGCTTGAATGCTATCATAAGACATTCGTTGCCCAAGCGCCACAGTCATAAGTTTTGTTTTCTAACTATTGTCATCGAGCTTTCATAATCCAACCATCACCATCAGACACTTGCCACCCGACCATCATCTTCAGACTTTAGTCATCTGACCATTTATGTCGGACCTTCCTTGTTAATCGCCATCATAAAATCTGTGCTGCCCAATCACCACTGTCGAACTTCTTATCACTCAGGTCCAAATGTACGAGCATACTTTGCCATATTTTCTACCAATTCTTCAAACTCTTATAATTATGATGTCTTTAAGGGGCTATTTGGTTGGAAGTAAAATAAGTGTAAATTATTCAAAATCAATGAGTTTTAAAAATATTGGTGTTTGTTTGGATGAAAAGAAATCCAAAGTAAACTAGATGTAATGTAAATCATTTTAGTTCATTTTTGAGGTAAACTAAACTTGCCCAATTTTGAGCGAGAACTTTTTACACCACAAGCAAGCTCTCTTGACCGCCGCAAGTAGTCGCCACTCGCCACTGTCCACCACCATACACCACTGCCGGCCACTGCCACCCTCCGTCGGGTCACCACATGCCGCCATCGTCGCATAACACCACTATCGTCGGTTGCTACCCGTTGCCGACCTCCACCACCTCTTATAGGGTCGACTTGTAGCCACCCACTGCCGGCTGCCACCGACCACCAACACTGTCGGCAACCACCACTTGCCATTACCTATCGCCGGCCACCGTTTCCACTGCCCGCCACTACCACCACTGCCTTCACCCGTTAACCACCACTATTTTTAGAATTTATACTACATTCATTTTACTTCAAAAAAAAAAAAAAAAAAAAAAAAATAACCTACATTACTTTATATTGATCTAAACAACTCTAAAGTATTTCTTTTATACTATATTCCTTCTATGATGCATTCTTTTTTTAGCTTACCAAACAAATCCTCATTTAAGGGACAAATAAATCTTTTTTAATTAACACTTGCACAATGGAATCATTTCAGTTGGACAATATCCCGTTGTTTTTCCCATTTTCTAGCTTTCCACATCAAAATTCTGGCATTATCATTTCTTTTTCAATTTTCTATTTATGTGATGTATCTTCATGCAAAATTATGATGCAAAATGCTCTTACTCTACTACAATAAGTTCTCTTGCCTGTAACATGAATAGTATTGTTACCAGCTCCCCTCAATTTGAAGATTGTTCAAATTCTATGGATTTGGTGTTGACTGGGTTTTGAATTGATTTGCATTCACACATGCCTAACACATTCCAGATTATCTAAGTATAGGATGATTAGCTTATATAAAAACCTTGTAAATGTTTCATGACTTGTGCACTAATGAATTAAAAAAGTAATTTAATGATCAAATTGTCTTCAAATCTTGCATGCTTATAATCAAATCAAATAGCTTGATGAGATGAACCTTACGACCAAAATCATTTAATTATGATATAATTAAGCCACAGGATAATAATTTAGGATCAAGCGGATCAACTTGAATCGTTTGATAGAGCGTTTTGAATTATAGATAAATTTATGAAATGTCCCAATAAAGAGCAATGCATCATTTCTTCATGGAGAGAGTTTGGGAGCAGAGAACTAAATAAGTAATAACTCAATTGCATTTTTTCAGCAATCGTCGTTAACAACAATAATTAGGAATCACTATCATCATCATCTTCATTATCTGACTTAGCTACTAACATTCAATCTTATTATTGCACTTCAATAATGAGTTCGTGGACATCAAATTTTTGTAATCCTAAGAAAAAAAATAAGAAAATTATTAAAAAAAAAGAAAAATTATTTTCAATTATGCAATCATGAATTTTTTTTAATATTTTACTACTTCTATTTGAATATTTTGGATCTTTATAAAAAAATAAGATATTAAATACCCATTCTATTATTATAAAAAATTTAATATATAAAACATTTAAATAGAATTTAATCTGTTCAATAATAAAATTAATTACTTTAAAATCAAATCATTCAACTTCATCAAATACACAGCCAGTCTAAATTATTAAACAAATCTAAGCTCGATCGATTTCACGCACGGGTAGGGCACTGCGCACCCTTTTTTTCCTTCCCCTCCTCCAACCTAACTACCTAAGGTTGCCGAAGCCCTGGGCGCCGGATAACGGGGCCCATTCTGCGGTACACGATAGCATCCACCGCTTCCCTTTACCTGCTTCTCTCTCCACCTCCACAACCTCGCTACTTTCTCTCTCTATCTATGTCTCGTCACACGCTGGCCATGCCTTTTTCCATCCCTAGCTTCCCATCGTTTCCTCTATACCTCCAACCGCCGGATCACACGTGCAGCTGTCACGTGCCATCCCTTTCGTGCTCCTCTAATTCCTCACCCTCGTTTCCGTCGTTAGACGGCGACGCAGCGGCGACCTAGGGTTAGGGCTTCCCTATGATTCTTGCTGTTCCTGTTCCTCTTGCTCTTCCTCCGCTCTCCGTGCGTGTGGATTGAAGCCGAGGCCGACCATGGAGCCGAGGCAGCCGAGGCGAGGCAACAAGAATGGGCTTTCATATTCGAATCTCTTCAATCTCGAGGTAACCTTCTGTTTTCCGCTTTGTTGTGGTTGGGGAAGTTATGGGTTCTCTCCCCACCAGGAGTTATGTTCTTCCGTGCCTTTGGTTTTCATTGTAATTCCATGTTGGATTGCGCTAGCAGTTAAACGGGTTTTTTCCCCCTTATAAATTGATACGGTGGTAGTTTGGTTGTCTACGTAATAAGAGTGGCGCAAATGTTTTGAGCATGTTGTTCTTGGAGGTGCTGTTTAATTGCACTTGTTTTTGTTTCTTTGTTTCTTTGTTCGTTGAAATTTTAGGTATTTATGCCTATTTTCTTAAAGTTTATTTTTTCTTCTTGGTTTCAATGCAGTCTTTGACGAACTATCAACTCCCGCGACCTGATGATGATTTTAATCATTATGACAACAGTAGTCAGGATGAGAGCAAGGACAGCCAAGGTAGGTATACTTGTTAGCCATATCTCAATTAGTTCTTTTGTATTTTCTGTTAAATTTAAGTTCAGTTTAGTACGTGCCAATTTTTGTTGTAAACTTGAGGAGAATTGGTTTATTTTGAATTTCTATGTAAGGATGCGTTGCGTAATATAAAATTGTGATGCATGGCTGATTTTTTTTTTTTTTAATATGACTGTATTGTTGATCATTTGTGTTTGGGTCATCAGGACAAGGAACCTTGTTTGATCGTGCTAATGGGGCTGTGATAGACAGGCCTTCTGACCCAACAAGACGGCTAAATAAGGCGATGTTTGATTCTGAGGGTGGTTTGAAATCTTTCAAACGGAAAAATTCTGAAAACAATGATGAAGATGTCAATGACTACGGAACTGGAATCTCTGACGAGCATTATCGTTCAATGCTTAGTGAACATGTGCAGAAGTACAGGAGAGTGAAGCTTAAAGATTCTTCTGCAGCTTCAGGTACCGCGCGGATGGCCGTTCCTATTTCTAGAAGGAATCATGGCTTGAAAGGGGGGAAGTTTAGCAATGAACCTTTAGTTTCTGTAAAGGAGGAGAAGACATTTCGTGAGATGGATATGTCGCCTGAATGCTATGAAGCTGATTTTGAATCAGAATATGGGGGAAGCAATAGATTTGCTTCCTCCCTGGATTTTTCTTATTTGGATATTGGGGATGGCGTTGCATATCGTATTCCTCCAACTTATGATAAGCTTCTGACTTTATTTAAGCTACCAAGTTATTCAGAAATTAAGATAGAAGAGAATTTTCTTAAAGGTACCCTGGATTTACGGTCTCTAGCAGCTATGATTGCTTCCAATAGGAAACAGGAGAGTCAAAATCAAGGAGGGTTGAGTGAACCTCAACCCCAATATGAATCACTGCAAGCCAGATTGAAGGCTCTTTCATCAAATAACTCAAATCAAAATTTTACTCTCAAGGTTGATGTTAGTTTGGATCCTCACTCAATTCCTGAAGGTGCAGCAGGTAGGATTCGACGGTTAATTATGTCAGAATCTGGTACCTTGCAGCTTTATTATGTTAAAGTTTTGGAAAGAGGAGAGTCATATGAGGTGAGTTATTATCACTCATCAAGATGCATTTTTATCCTAGTATTTTTTTATGTGATATCTTTCTCGTTGATGCTTCAGATTATTGAACGCAGTTTGCCTAAGACTCAAATAGTGAAAAAAGATCCTTCTGTGATTGAAAGAGAGGAGATGGATAAGATTGGGAAAGCGTGGGTTACTATTGCTAGACGAGATATTCCTAAACATCACAAGTTATTAACAAATTTGTTTCGTAAGCAAATAGCTGATGCCAAACGCTGGTCAGAAACCTGCCAGAGAGAGGTATCAATACTTTGATTTAATTTTACTTTTCACAGTTCATTTCTTTTTGCAATAGTTAATTATTCTCTTTATCTCAGTCTCCCTTCCTTTCTTTTCTCATTGATGGGTTGCTTTTACTTGCCTCTAACACATGCTACTTCTGTTAGGTAAAATTGAAAGTTAGCAGGTCACTTAAGTTGATGAGAACTGCTGCAATTCGCACTAGGAAGCTAGCCAGAGACATGCTAATATTGTGGAAGAGAGTGGATAAAGAGCAGGTGAACTTTTCTTTTTATAAATTACTTGACTCTTTTTGTTGCTTTTGTCAGTACTTTGTGATAATGCTAAGTTTTAGTCCATTGATTTATTCATCCATTGTTAAACATACATGGGTCCATTCTTTTTGAAGTAGTTGTGATCTTCTGCAATCATTGATAGTGTATTTGTAACTTTTGCGGAATACAAAAGCTTGCCAAGTTTAAAGTTAAATTTTGAGTCTCGCGAGCATGTATGAGTTACTTCATATTTGCACCACAGTAGTCATTTTTCGTGTACATCATTGGTATGATTTGAAATATGAATTCAATATGTTACAGATTCAACAATGTTAATAACATAGAAGAAAAATGATATACAGTTGACTGGGATATATATATTTGTATTCTGTATATGCATGTTTGATTGTATGCAGATCTTACATGGAAATATAATTATTGTCAAAGGGCATTTTGCACATTTGTTAGTGTATTCTTTACCGATGAGGGCCATATTCCAATGCCTTCAGCAAGATTATGATCTGTTAAAAATGAATCTTATAAGGCCATAACACGTAGCAATTAGGTTGACAGCTTGAAAATTAAACTATGAACATTTTAAAATAGATGACAGAGGAACTTCTCATACTCTTAGGGATTGATTAATTTGGTCCAGCCATGATTATACAGCTGATTTGTAACTGCATGTAAATTGAACTTTGAACCCTTTAAAATAAATGGCAAAGAGTAAAATCTCATACCCTTAGGGAATAATTTGGGTATTTCATTTGCTTATGTTTTGTTCCTTATCTAACCACATATGGACTTTATATCTGGCTGTGTTGAGCCCATATCATAATTAATTTTTTTAATCAGAATTCTGCACAAAATTGCTTATTTTAAATGTATCAATGGCGTGTAATCACACAAATTAATCATTCCAAATAGCTGAGATAAGCCTAGTGCTGATGATGATGATGATGATGTATAATCATACATGCAAATACAATAAATATTAGTTATGGATACATCACACATATGGAGTTACCGTGCATTTTTGGCAATGTATATTAGAGCAGCCCTAATTTTGTTGGAAGGATAAATATTGCATTTTTATTGAGTTTTCTATTTATCCCTGTTGTTATAGATTTTGTTGATGTGAAACAATGAACAAGAATTGCCGGATTTGAATAAAAAGTTGTTTAAGCATTACAAATTATAGTTTAGTGTTTCACTAAGATTAGTTTTAATTTTTCGTAGTTGTGGATTTGTTTAGGAAAGCAGTTACAAATTGGATTAACGGAGCAACCTAAAATAATAACAAAATAAAGTAAAGACAATGTGCGAATCACTAATCCACAAGTTAACAGTTAGATAGTTCACCCTGAGTTTCCCTCACTCTTCACTCTCGGGAAAAGTTGCGGAGAAAGATTAAAGCAATAATAATGATGCCACCAAATAAAGTAAACGCGTACAATACAAATCACTGAAGATTTATTTTGGAGAAGTAGAAGCCAGGGATTGTAATAGGATTTGTCTCGGAATCGGTAGTAGCTGCTCCTCGATGGCCTCGAATATCAAACACAAACCCATGATAGCACTTGGGTTCCGGCATTCATGCTTGATGGAAAGTAGGAAAAGGTGTTCGTCTTCTTTCGAAAGTGATGAAACCAATAGGGGGGGGGACAATATGTGGTTGGAAAGGGAGCTGGAGGGGGTGGCCCAGACTAGTGGGAGGGGCTATTGGTTTCGGTCTTGGCTTGGGGAAGGGTTTCCACTTGATTTCAGATTTGGGTATTCAATGGGGAGGGAAGGGAATTAAGATTAATGACCTAAAATTAAATTTTAGATTTCCATTAATTAAGGAATTTGAATTTGGAATTCAAATAAGATGGAGGGAAGGATAAAGAAGTGGTTAATTATTCCCTTAATTAGATTTCTTAACAATGAAGGGAATAATTAAAATAGGGGAGAGGGAGGGGCCAGCCAAGAGAAGAGGGAAAGAGGGGTCCAAGTGGATTGCATGTTGGCCCAAACAATAAATTAGATTGGAGATTTAAATCTGAAATTAATTTCAGATTTGTATTGATTTAGAGGAGTTTCCTAATTTAAGGATTGTTGAGTTGAAAAGAATTTGAAATTGAAACCCTCTTGAATTTGAATTAAATGATCTTCCCAAATTTGGATTGTCTAAATTAGGAAAACATTCATGGCCAATTGAAGGAGGTTGGGTGGCAAGGCTGGCGGCTATGCTTGGTGGGAGGCCGACGGGCTTAGGTGGAAGGGGTGGTTGGCTGGTGGGAGTGAGGAGGTGGTTGGGTCTGGTGAGGGAGGTTGGCGGTGTGTGGTGGAGGGGAGGAAAGGGAAGTCGGGCAGTTGGGTTTGGATGATGGACCGGCGGCTAGATGGGAGGTGGGTCGTTGACAGGGGTGGGGAGAGAGGGTTGGTGGGTTTGGGGAAAGGGGAAAATGTAGCCGGCGGTTTGGGGAGATGTTGGGGAGGAGCCGGCGGATAGAGGAGGAAGGGGGAGATAAGCCGCGAGCCCCGGACCCCTCTGATGGCTGATGGGTATTGCTTTCACCCTCATCTAGGGTTCTCTCTTCTCAAGTGCACACACAAGAGGAAGAAGACAAAGCTGAAATTTCATTCAAATCATCATTAACCTAGTACAATAGAAAATACCTCTATATATAGGTCTAAAAAAAAGAAAACACAAAAGACTCAAATGCCCTTTGGGGCTACAACATAAACTCATCCCCAAGGGGTACAATAATAAACTCGAAAATAAAGAAAATAAAATACAACAAAATACATTAGAAATAAAGGCTATGAATCGTAGCCGTCGATCTACGATTCCTCCGATGACAGACACGCCAAAATCTCCCGCTAATGTCTTCATCATTCCCGGGTAGGAGAAAGCTCGACCCCGTCGAGTAAGTATCTCGGGAACTCTCGTACAACTCGAGAAGATTGGGGTCCAACCTCTGTAACTCATCCCGATCAATCCACATGTTCTTCGTCTCCAGTTTTCCTCTCCACTGAACTATAAGTCCCATTGGTGTCTGCCGTCTTTGGTGGAAATGATTTGTTCATAGGTGAAAGACAATTGTCATCAATGATGGTTGATTGTGGGATATGGTGGATGGGAGGCAATGAATTGCTGGGGCTAGTCGATGATAAATGAGCATGGTTAGGTGGCATCAAACATTTGCTCCAGTCGACGACGAACAACTAAAAATTTGCACAATAATGGTCAACATTAGTCGACAATGGGTGATGACAGACGAGCAACAATGAACATAGTGGTTGATAACAAGCGGCATTGAACGTCAATCAATGACATACGATGAAGGATAGATGATGATGATAGTTAGAATTGTGGACTTTGATGTTGGTCGAAGGAGTGCAATGATCGATGGGCTGTGATGAAAATAGGCGTTGGCTGATGAGTAACAATAATTGTTAGCATTAGTTGACCATGTGCAATAGTAGATGGGTGGTGGTGGAAATTGACGTTGGTCTATGATAAACGTGCATGGGGAAGGAGCTTTGGAATTCTATTAGAATATCATGTTTCTCTTTGTCAGGAATCCTTTATTGATTAATAGAGTGGTGTTTCGAGCATTAGCACTAATTAAGGATTGGTTTGTGATGGAAAATTCAAAGTAGGTTGTTTAGGGATTAGATGATTGTGTTTTGCATTAAGTAGATTTTTCTCCCTAGGGTTAGGGTTATGCTTTGTTTTGTTGAATTGGTTTTCTCTTAGGTTTGCTTGGGCTTTAGTCGCCGGCTAGGGATTGGGAGAGCCGAATCTTCCTCTTGAATTGAAGATCCATTTTATCTTGCTTGTTTTCTTTCATCTTCCATTAATTATCAAGTTATCTTGTGTTTTGCCACCAAATTTCTCAATTTCTGCCTTCATCTTGCTGAAACTTCAAATTTCAGCCACATTCTTTTAATTTCTACAAGTCTTTCATAACAAATTGATATTAGAGCGAATAAGTTGTCTTTGCTGTTTTTGCGATTTGAGCCTATATCCAATTAACGACAGCGAAGAAGATGGATGCGTTGGAAGGCGAGATGGAACAATTCAGCCATCGAAAACTGCTTTGGAAACTTTGAGGATATGATGAAAAAGATGCTTGAGATGCAGTCGAAAGCATCGCCAGCGATTCCTAGGTTGGAACCAAGAGTAAAGGAGATTCAGGAGGACGGTGATGAATTGAAAGGTGTTTTCCATAACATTGTGAAAATCAGACTGGACAACAAGCCAGAAGGAGAGGTTCACGGTTCGACCGGTCGAACCAGATGATGTAATAAATAATAATATTATCATAAAAATTAGCATAATAATGAGATATAATAACCATATAATTTAATATAAATTATTGTTAATTTATATTACATATTTAGATGTAAATTATAAATATAAATTATCAAGGTTTTAAAATGAAGTTTTGATTTATATAGTTTATATAGCTTTTTTGCTTTTACTCATGATAGGAGCTCATATGGACTAGTTGAGCCATGTGGGAATGTTGCAATTAATATTAAATCATAATCTTTAATACTTATTTAAGAGTTTTAATATATAATATTTATATTAATTGATTAAGTTTAACATTTATTTAATATTAAATACTTTATTTAATTATTTAAATAAAAAAATTGAACTGATCGGTTTTAGAAAATCGGGATTGGTTCGCGGTTGAACCGGTAGTTCAAACCGGTTCTGGCCGGTTCAGTACATAGCCGGTTTTCAAGGCTGAACCAGACTGGCCGGTTCGGTCCGGTTTTTAAGGAGCGCCACATGGGGCTTTGTTGGTGGGCATCGGGATATTCCGAAGGGAGGGCAATAAGGAGGAGGGATGTCGAACAATTTAGGAGACTATCCGGGCATGGGGAGGGGTGAAATGGAGAAGGGCATGGTTGGGGGAAGCCATGGGCTTCAACTCAATCCGAGGAGGAAGGAAGCATATCACACTACCACTACACAGGAGGAACCAACTGAGGAAGAAATTGGG